TTGTGAGTTCCAATCCACCAATAAATTAATATGCCAACTCATTGGTATTTAGGATAAGATGAGCACCGATACTCATTAGATCATTTCTGTTTAACATGGACCCTTTTTATTTTAATGTCATAGCAAGTATTCAAAATTTGTCTCGATGACGTTTAAGTCATTATGCCCATTATATCCTGATGACACATGCTACAATGACTCATGAGGGTAACCTAACCCCAAAACCCGTTATCAATCGATTTGATGTCCAATAATCTGAATCGAATCAAAACCAGTCTTTTATATATCAGAAAAAATATTTATATAATTTCTACTAACTTGCTTAATTGGGGCTAAGATTTCAAAACTAAGAAATGAAAAAATATGGAGTTAGAAAGTCTAATTATTAACAGAACTAGATAAGAAAATAAGATTACTATATTTTAAATAATCGTCAAATCGATTTAAGATTTTCGTGGATAATAAAATGGATTAAAATTTGCTATCTTAAAATTTTGTCTAAATTGATCAGAAGATGAACTCTTATCAGATAAATGGATGAAATCCTATCTAAATTGGTAGGAAAACGAATTCAATCAACACAAGAATATTCCAGGGTATGAAATTTAACTTTATGGAATAGATGCGGATATATCTGAAAAGATTGTACCTCACGCGCTATGGTGGGATGTGAGTACCATAAGCGTGTATGGTAAAGTACGGCTGGAATAAACTTATATTTCAGTTAAGGACATTTTCTGTTGAGGACATAAAAACACTCTAATTATCAGATAAGGACTCGTTTACCCTACTATAAATACCTCTACGTTTCTCAATACCCTGCACACATCGAATTCGTATTCATTTATTCATTCTTTCTTTCTTTCTTTCTGTATTTTGTTTAGTTTAATTCTTTTTTGAGGAGAACATGACTATTCTTATCGAGCAACCCGCGGACCATGGTACAATTTATTTTCTTGTGTCCTCTTTATGTATTTATGTCCTGTTTGTTTCTGATTAAAAAAGGATTTTAATCTAATTCAACGTCAAACAATCAATATTAACCACATTTTTCATGATCCCACAACTTTTCAACTACACATTTCAAAAATTTCTATCACAATCTACTAAAAATCTAGTTTTAATCTCCACCAAACACCCACTTAATGCTGTGGTTTTGTTGAAGGACGCAGCGAGCACAACTCTCGTATTTAGATGTAATATGGGTTTTTCTTAATCTTTGCAGTGGGAGGAAAGGAAATTGTATCTGACACAAATGAACTTGTGTTGGATGGAGGATTTGTCATGCCCAAAATGGAGTCAGAATGTGGATTTGAAGCCCCTG